GGTTTTGCAGTGAATCCAACTGTTTGATGTTTTTTTTGTTCGCAACTTTCAATAAATGTGGGTTATTTTGTAACACAGCATCCAGATGTCTTGTCTATCTGAGCTGAATTCGGGTCCTGTCATTCTTCCGAGCGCCCCATTCTCCTCTTGTCTGCATCCCGGTGCCCGCTTTGTCGGCAGCCAACTCTCTAAGGGCAAGAAATATAACGTTGAGGCGGTCATTCAGGTACGTGTGCCGCGCCCAGTTTCATTTGTTTCTCCTTCAGACAACCAACTTGCCCGAAAAGACTTTCTATGGTCTGCTGACAATAGAACACCTAGCCGAGGAGATTCCCAACTCCACCACCTTCTTTGAGGCCGAAATTATTAGCCGCAAGTTCCCCTTCACCACCGGCAAGTGGGATGCCACTGTGGAAATTGACCGAAGCCACTGGGTGTGAGTGCTCTCTGTACAGTCTGAGCGTTAACCTTTCTTCCTCTCCTTTAGAATGAACTAAACGTGCCCTCCAAGTTTCCTGACTACTACAAAGACTCCTTCGACTACTCCGCCCTGGAAACTGCTGACCATGTGTTTATGCGCTGGAAGGTTCGTTTCTGGTAGTTGCTCTGAAGACACTTCTTTTCCGCCCTTAGGAGAAGTTTCTAGTGCCAGACTCGACAAACAGCAGCGCCAGTGAACACATCTCCTTCTCGGGTTTTTACTATGTCTGCCTTCGAAAAAGCACTGGCGTCCTCACCGGTTACTACTACCAGGGCACCTCAGAACGGTATTTCCTAGCTCACGGTTCTTGCTTATCTCCTCTGTTTTCTTCCCCTTTGCAGGTTTCAGCTCCTCGAGTTGAACTATGTGCCCCAGGCCACTTTCTCGTCATTTCAATTTATTTAAAAAGTTGGAGACTTCAGTTGCCGTTACAACGTAATTTCCTGCTTATCATGTCATTTTCAATTTAAAAAAAACATCAATTTCTTGCACTATGTCCTTGTGTGCGTCAAAAGGCTGCTTTGGCTTTTTCTGTTGTGTTGGCCTACTTGGAGATCTATTTCGTGTGTCGGGTCGAAGGGCTGCTGCACTGCCGCCTGAATTGAATGACTTCTGTTTCGCTTTACGAGTTCGAAATTAAATAAACCAGTGCGCGGTCTGGTCAGTTTGTTGGGCCGTTGATTCCGGCCAAGTCCACCGTTTGGCCTGCAGCAAAGTTGGCGCAGGAACAGTGAGGTGCGCGTGGCTTAGTTTATTGCGATAGGGGACTTGCTGAACATATACAATTCGCCCTCTTCTTACGACCTCCTGGGCTCAGTTTTATGACCCACTCCAGAAGACCGGAGGTGAGGGCGGAAGCATGTGGTTGGCGCAACGGTCGCCACACCCGAAAGTTTGGTCGTTGTTTTTGACGAGATCCACAATGTGCTCCACAGCAGGGATGGTGACTTGAGCTCGGTTGCAGTAAGAGTACACTTGT